CCCCCCCACTGTGCCCCCCCTTGTCCCCAAAGCCACCATCACACCTCCACCCTGTCCCAAAGCCACCATCGCATCCCCCCCACTGTGCCCACCCTTGTCCCCAAAGCCACCATCACACCTCCACCCTGTCCCAAAGCCACCATCGCATCCCCCCACTCTGTCCATCCTGTCCCCAAAACCACCATCACATTCCCTCACTGCGCCCACCCTTATCTCCAAGGCCATCATTGCATCCCCTCACAGAGGGGTTGTATCCCCTTCTCCCCCAACCAACCATCACATCCCCCCAAATGCATCTCATCTGTCCTCAAAGCCACCATCACATCCCCCCTGCTGTGTCCCCTCTGTCCCCAAAGCTGTTGTCACTCCCCCCTGTGCAGAGGGGCCGTCTCCCTGCCAGGCTTGGCCACCCTCACCTGGGTAGTGGCACAGCTCTTCCACACTGCAGTGCTCATTTTCGCTCCTGTTTTGCAACAGAAAATTGCGTACGCCAGGGCAGTCGCGAGGGAAAATAGGCGCAATGTGAAGCAGATGAGAGAGTAAATCATAAAGCCGTCGTACATGTTCTGCATACTGCAAACGAGGAGCTAATTTCCTGGCAGCCGTCTTCAGGATGCTTCAAGTCAGTCCTTGCCAACGTGGCCCTTAAAAACCTCACAGACTTTTGGCTGCGAACAACCCCACTCATTTCTAATTCCCACAAATATAGACAATTTAATTATGCGTTTTGTTAGGCTGACCTGAAAACAGCCAGCAACTATCGGATCACTGAAGAAAACAAAGTCAATCACTTTTTTTTTTTTTTTTAAAATGAGCATTTTATGGGGTTCGGCGACATTTGCTACATTTTGTCAAGCGTGAGCTCAACCAGAGGCAGAAAGAAGCAGCCGAGGGTTGTTTATTGCGGCCCTCCCTGACAGCAGCACGAATGGAAGTGACTGTAATAAAACCACCGGTGTTGGCGGTCTGAGCAGCAACGCGGGAGCCCTGATTTCCGCACCCCGTTCTGACAACCACTTCCTCAGTGACCAGCAGCGGATCACTTCGCCTCTCTTCCTAGTTACCGCCACTGATTCATAGTCGAGATCAATTAGTTAATGTTTGCAAAGTCAGTTGAAGATGAAAAAGCATTACATACTGCTAATAAAACCGTAATGATCCCACTGTTAAACATTAAACACACAATGATGTGTAAAAAAAAAAAAAAAATCACATTTATGGAAAATTCCTCTTGCGGCAAGGACAAAGGATTAGCGCCTAAAAAAAGGAAAGATGAGCTCAGATTTGCATCGCAGGACTCTGTCTCAGGGGTCTGGCTTCTGTTTAGGTCCCTGTCGCCAGTTATCTGTGTGGCCATGGGCACATCACTTGGGCCAGCAATTACTGAAGCAGCTGGTGGGCTGACCCACCTGAAAGTGGCACGTTAATCCAGAGCTAGCCCAAAATCACCAGATGCATTTAGAAAAATGCTGGTCCTGGTTGTTTTCTGCCTCCGCTTCCCCCTCTGCTAAATGGGATGAGGATTGCAGCTGCATAGCCTGATTTTTGCAGGCAAGATAATACAGCAGCGAGCAAACCCTGGCAACGTGGTCCTTAAAAGCCAGGCGAGCTGAGCTGCTCGTGAGACACTCGCATCACACTGCAGCGTGAGGAATAAAAGCGGGCGTGTGGGACTTTCTAGGAGATTTTTCTTGGCAATGAGTCTCGCATGAGACGTAAAACCGGTAGCTGTGCCACTGGTAGGGCTCCGGGTCGCCATATGTAGAGCAATGCATGTCTGATGCTCTGACCTGCAGGCAAGAAGGAGGAGAGGAACCGGGAAAACCACGTTTGTCTGTACCTTTGGGCCTGCACAGGGCCACATTCATGGTGATGAGGCACCGGTGTTTCTGGCAGGGCAGCAGCCATGGGTGGGGATTTGCACAGCAGGCGCTCCAGGCAGTTCAGGATTTGGCACAGCCATCTCAGAGAGAACTCCTCTCCAAAAAGAGCAGCCCTTTGACAAGGTATCCCTCATTCCCTCAGTCAAACTGCCCTTTGCAAGGAGCATCCCTGAGCTGCAACAGCCTATTGCAGCTTCCTCCCGAAATCTGATGCTGCCCTGCTTTGATGGTGATCAGTTGTTGACTTGCAGAAAAGCTGAATCATGAATCAGAGGTTATAAACAAGGTTATTTTTAACGAAGGAAACAAATCCCACATCATGCAGAAGTCAGAGCAACGGACTGTCAGCTAGGGCTCGCAGGTCTCACTCCTGCCCCGATATTCTCTATGTCCTGAAGCAAATTACAGTCTCTCTAACCTTTAATTTACCTGCTTGTAACATGGACAAAGCAGCAGACTCCAGTTGTGCTTGCTTTGCACAGCAAAGCTCCTGGTGTGACTGTAAAGCGGTGCTGGGAGCTGTGTGATGCCAGGGGCTGGCTTGCACTGTCGCCCGGCACCTTGCAGAGCTATTTTCAGCCATGCAAAAATGATCACACACACTATTTCAACAACGTTCATAGACGTTTCGAATGCAGAGAGAGACTAGCCAGTCTGATTCCCCTCTCCCATATTTCACAGTCTTACATTTCAGTTCCCACATGCAGCCCAGTAACTTCTGCTTCGTTTTGCTCACTGAAAACTCAAAATAGACAAGTTTTGTAGCCCAGAGTCTCATGTTGCATCCTTCAGGCAGCAGCGTGCTGCAGGGTGTGTGTTGTAGGTACCCAGCCCAGGAGGAGGGAAGATGAGTCTGGTACACCTACAGCTAACCGGGAAAGTTCCTGATCATGCCACTTCTTACCTCTCTCTCTCACACTTAAATTCTTCCCAGAAAAGCAGATTTCATTTTCCCTAGGAAAGATGCCACAACTCAGGGAAGCAGGGGACTGAGGCTGGGACTGGCCAGGCTTCCACGTGCTGCCTGAGGAACACGAACAACCCCACACACAGATCCTCGTGAACCCGTCTTCTCTGCTCCACGCCCGCGTTATCGAGTGCTTTGGGTGTGTCACCAACTTTACATAGATAACTACTAAGGTTAAAGAACTCTATCTTTTTTGAAAATATTTTGTAAATATATTGTTTTAAAATACATACACACGCACACATCTACAAAAACTTTAGGAGATTGAAGACTTTCCCACCGGACTTTATTTACAACCCTGCTAGGGCTCTTTGCTGCTGGAGGGGCTCACCTTCCTCGCTCAAGGTTTCTTCAAGCTAAATAGTGACTTCCACATAGAAAATATCAAATAAATACCAAGGCATC